GCTTGGGGGTCTCTGTCCTCCTGTCCCCCCCCAACTCGGGGGTCTCTGTCCTTCCCAGCTCGGGGACCTCTGTCCCTCCAACTTGGGGGTCTCTGTCTCCCCTTAAACTCGGGGTCTTTGCCCCTCCCACCCCCAACTTGGGGGTCTCTGTCCCCTCCAGACTTGGGGGTCTCTGTCCTGCCCCCACACTAGGGGCTCTGCGTTCTCCTCCCCTCCGAGCTGCGGGGGGGGGGGTGTGTCTCTGTCCTTCCCAACTCGGAGGTGGGGGGTCTCTGTGCTTCTGCCCCCCAACTCAGGGGGGGGTGTCTCTGTGCTTCTGCCCCACCCCGGGCCCTTGTGGGGGGGTCTCTGCCCCCCACGTGGGGGGCCCGGGACTGTCGCTGCAGGGGGGTCTTGGCCCCCCGTGACTCTGCTCTGTCTCTCTCCACCTGTCCTGCTCCTTCTGCCCGTCTGTCCGGGAAGCGCCGGCCGGGGTCCTCGCGGGTGACCCACTGACGGTACGGGGGGGCGCGGGGGGGTGCTCCCGGACGCCTGGGTCCCTCCTTCCCCTCCCCCGCCGTGGTGCCCTTTGGGGTGCCCCCGGACGCCTGTGTCGTCCCCCCCCCCAGAATGTGCCCCAGCGTGGGTTTGGGGGTCCCCTCCGACTGCCCGGGTCCTCTCTGCGGCGTGTGCCCCGATGGGGGTTTGGGGGTCCCCCCACACGACTGGGTCCCTCCCTCCCCCCAGCGTGCCCCCCACAACACGTGGGGCGCTCCCCCCTGCTCCCTCTCCCCCTCCTTCCCCTGCAGCCCCTGTCCTTGGGGTGGCTTTTGGGGTCCCCCTGGGAAACAGAATCCCCCCCCCTGCCCAGTGCGTGCCCCAGGGAAGGTTTTGGGGGTCCTTGGCTGCCGGGGCCCCCCCTGACCCTCTCCCCACAGCCTGCAACCCCTCGGCGTGCCGCGCCGTGGGGCGGGGGCTGCAGCCCAAGGGGCTGCGGGTGAAGGAGACGGCGGATTTCAAGGTCTACACGAAGGGGGCCGGCAGTGGCGAGCTCAAAGTCACCGTCAAGGGCCCCAGTGAGTCCGGGGGGGCCCCTTATTTTGGGGGG